GGGGCATGCCCCCCCTTAATCAGGCTAGGGGGGCCTGGCCCCCTGGCCCGCCCCCTAGTTGCGCGCCTGAGGCAGATCGTCTCATTTTAAGAAATTCCGGTCGTCTTCACAATCTCATCCTTTGTGGGTAACCCTGTAGGTAGACCAAACCCCTCTATACTTCTGTAGTTGGTGGAGTTCTCAATTATTATAGGGACTGTCAACAAAATATTTGTGAACTAAGTGAAGATTTCGTCGTTTTCTAACTCGAAAAGTTTCTACATTGCTTCTTTTAAACAAGAAATGCGCCAGTCACTTTTTCAGGAAACCCTAAAATGTAAATAAACCGTTATAAAAACAAAATAAATTGATATCTAATTCATACATGCGCAGACATAGTTTTCAAGGTTAACGTTGTGAATCAATTACGTTTCTGTTTAATTAAGCTTTTTTTTATGGGTTCGCTGCTAAAGTTACTTCCGCATGTCTTGGTTTTAAGAAACAATGGAGAAATTCACAGAATAAACAGTTTTCGAGTCAGAAAAATTACATTATCTTTTACATTTTTGATGAGATTAAGGTTTCAAATATTTTATTCAAATTGAAATTCTTTCGTTAAAGATTTTTTTTTTTTTTTTTTACATTTTATAAAAACTCGAGACAAATAGAAATATTTTATTGATTGTTATTATTCATTATCAAAAATATTGAGGCATGTCCGATTTACAAGGGTACTCTTTAAACCTTTGTCTGATCAAGGATATCAGAGTCATCCTTTTTCCCAGGTAGAAAATAAGTGATTTTTATGTGTATTATCTTGGTGACTTCAGGATTTATGTAATAAAGAGAAAATAAAAGAAATTTTGAATATTTTACGTTTTTTGGATAGAAAAGCGGTAATTTCTCTTTTATTGTTGTCCAGATGAAGGTTTAAAGGGTATTAATTCCTTCCTGGAACTCTCTTTATGCAGGGTCAATTGAATTTAAGTCTACCTACGTCAGTACATCTTAATCAAACTTTGAAAAATTATTTTGTTACTTTTTGCTTCATGAAATTATATGAAATAAGTTTAAATTGTGAATTGGATGAAGGGACACTTTGGGCTTTAAATCATTTTAAATTAACAGTATAATTTCTGACATTAAAGGGAGTAACCGGCTATGTAAGGTAGTTAAACTGAGTATGCAGTGTTGTGGACAAAGTCTTTAGGATTCATTTGAGTCATATCAAACTATTTAGAGATCTGTAAATCCTGAGTTTGAGCGCAAAGTCGATGTACACAATCGTACTTTTGGGTGGATACGTTTTCATAATTGTTTTTTTTAAATTATTAAATAACGACGACAAAAAAATTAAACAAAACTCTGCAGCAAACTAATTAGTTGTTTAGGAACAGGTTAAGAAAAAAAAATTAACTCTTATTATTCAAAAATAAGTAATCTTATTCAATTCATAAGTTTCTATAATCTCTCTTTAATCTCAAAGATTTTCTGCAGATTTTCTGGAATTTTTAATAAAAGACTACATTTAAAGTGACCATTCCCTTATTTGGGTAATTTCAGGGTAAACTAAACAGCCTATTCGCTGTTGATTGGTAATAGTATTACTTTTCAAAGACAACTGTGGCCGGAGAAAATGCCGATTTTTCGTTCAGAATTTGAGCGGAAAGGGACGGTCCATCTCTATAGACACTATATGATGTTTTTTCAGTATGTTGTGGATCAAAATAATTTTCGAATTTAAATTAAACTGTAGTATCTATTCGTTAATTCTATATGTAAATGTCAATGTCAAAAAATTTACTCTGGCTTTAACATAAGACTTTTATCTCAATCAAAGTATAAAATTTAATTTTTAGCTCAAACAACTTTAGTAATAGATTATCCAGTAATAGATAATAGTTATAGTAATATATTTTAACAGGAAGTTAGGATGTTTAAACTTGTTTGTTAAAAATTTGCAGAATATAAAAATTGCATTAATTTACTATCAATTATGTTATGTAATTATGTTACACCCTGTTACCCTGTTACCCTGTTACGTCCTGCATACTGTCATGTTTCGTGGGACACCCTGTCCCACGAAACATGACAGTATGCAGGACGACTTGAATGTCATCTTGATTTTTGATATAATTTGCTGCGTTTATTTGTCAATCTAATTTTAGAAGTAAATTTCTAGAGATAATAATCACAAAATTTCCCTTGTCCTGCCATTTCCAAAATGTGGTCTGCCTTTTTTGTGCTTTCAATATTGCCCGAGATATGAAGAATTTCGTTCAGATTTCGACAATTTTGCTTTTATTTAACAAAAATTGAAATCTGAACCAAACTCTTTATATCTCCGGTAATATTGAAAACGCAGACCACTTTTTGGAAATGCCAGGGCTAGGAGAATTATGTGATAATTGTTTCAAGAATCCTGCACGTTAAAGTAGATAGAAGACTAAATGTCACAAATAAATTCAAATACCAAAGACGACTTTCAAGTCGTCTTCCTATTGTCATGTTTCGTGGGACACCCTGTATATTAATTATGTAAAATTTATCTACATTTGTCATTTTTGACTATACACTACTTCAAATAGAAAAATCATCAAAATTATTTGTCAACTAAATATGTTCCAAGAAAAGTGGCATGAAGCCAAGTTCTTTAAAAGCCAAGAAGTTTAAAATTTTTCCAAAAGATGGGCAACAAATGTGGAGACCTTACCAGACCTTATTGAGAACTTCAAGAATCTAGTGTTGTGTATTTTCTAAGAACAAAATTGTTTTTATAACTTTATAATTACTTTTCTTTGGACTTTTCCGAGTGGTCTCTTCTTCTCTTGGCGAAATGTTGTTTTTATAAGATTTAAATAAATACATAATTTATAAAGGAATCGATTACTCTCTCAAATTTCTAGTTTATAAATCACTTTCTTTACCACATACATAATGTATACATTTGATATATATTTTTAATTTTAAATATTTCACAGAATTAATGGATTAATTGATTGATATTTATATAAAATTTTCAATTCAATAGCGGTTGCAAAGTTTTTGCTGACTTTTTCCTTATCAAATATAAACTGTTATATTAAATATATGCTTTATTTAGATGTAAAAATTTTACAAATTTAGAAATTTGCCTAAATATATCAATTTTTTAAATTTTGAATGTCATATATTTTAAATTTTGGATGAGCATTTTACAAAATAATAAATTTACAGAGATATCTAACAAATTCTTTAAGAGATAATTTGAAGGAACTTTTCAGCCAGCTAAAAGATCGATATCTATTTTTACAACACAAAAACATTTTTAAAAGGGAATTAAACCATGTTGCTAAAAGCTATTGCCAATTAATGAATGTGAACAAAATACCATTATTATCATTAGGTTTTTCTTCAGAAATTCTGTAAACTTTCAAGATTTTTGAAACTATAGTAGGGTTATGGAATTATCTCTTTTTTACAAATTTTTTTATTTTTCAACTTTAGACATTAAACTAACTTTGTTCAATTTTTTTTGGAAAAATTTTCTAAACATTGTGTAATTTTGTCATAATATTAATGACATATATATATATTTTATCTTGTACGAAAGGCTTTCAGTATAATTTGATATATCACATAAAGACAAAATTTCAACAATTATGATAAATAGTTATTTTAAAAATAACACATTACTGTATCAGATATCATTAAAATAAATATCACTAATTTAGAATTTACTTTTGTTAATTTACAATAATTTACAATTTTTCAGCCTGTTTGGCAAAAGAGTAAATTACATTACAAGCCTTATTATCATTAACAAATAGTTTCATGAATATTGATTTCTCCTGAGTAAAGATGGGCATCTTTTTTTTGAACGAACACAATTGTTTAGAACAAACAATATTTTTGTAAAAGTGTTTCGTTCAGAAAAAAAATTTACAATGGATGAACAAATTTGATCATTCATAGAAATGAAAAAATGATTGTTTTTAAAAACGAATGATAAAAAAACAAATGATTTAATATCTTTTGAAAAAACTTGAAAAAACAATAATTTTTTTATCTGAAGGAACGTTATTACCAAACTTTTGGAACAAAAATTACTTTTCTTTTACTGAAAAAAAAACATATTTCTTTTTAAACTATCATTTTTAACTTATTACAAACGATTTTATTGAACAAACTGTTTTACAATTTACGATTTTACAAAACAAAACTTTATTCTGTGAGAAAACGAACAAAATAACTGTAGATAATTTAGTGAATGAATTAAATCAAATTTTATTGAACAATTGAAAAGAATCAAAATGAATCACTCATTAAAGATGGACAAACGAAATGAAAAAGCTAAAAGTGCCCATCAGTAAATCTGAGACCAAATTTAAAGAATTTGAGCCAGTACCTGTCTAATAAGGGTGATCAATATTGGAATCAGTATACCGATCTTGTCTGGATAGGCAGCTCAATATCAAACTAGACCTTTTTGAAAATGAAATTTTGAAAATAATTGAAAATGCAGCCTGCATCATTGTTTTAAAATTAGATTTTTTTTCGGTATTTCTCTGTTATGACAAATAGCTGCATGGCTTAGTGGAATTTGCACTCAAACTCTGTAAAGATAACGCCGATAAACAAACTTCTCTCGCAGTGAAATTTGAACATCAAACTCCCAATTAGAATTTTATTTTTATCAGAATGCATATTAAAAAGCCGAAAATAAATTAAATTTTAATTTAAAAATGTTGAAGCTGGAAATATTTTAAAATATTCCATAGACAAAACAGAAATATCAATTGTTTATCAGCCATACTTAGTAAACCCATCCTTCATGCACAATAAAAAAATAACCCCACGCCCCTCTCCCACTCCTTGCTATCCAAAGTTTCCTTAATACCCTTACCCAGATTTTGGCTGAATAATCAATATTATTTGTATTTATATTAAAAAAAGAGAAATCAATTATTTACCTACCCCTCCCACACCCGGTTCCCAGTACTAAAGTATTGCTCCCCCCCCCCCCCCTTCAATCTCCCAAATTACCACCTCAATCCAAAGGTTTCCCCTAAAACATTTTTGGTCAAACTAATCAAAATTGAATTTGTATAGGTAAAAAGCAATTATTTAATACCCTTTATAGAATTAGCTGTAAGCAGAGGTGTATTCTATAAGGGGTGCTATTGGGGGTCACCCCCCCCCTCCCCTTGGGACAGTAAAACTAAAATCTATGGTCTGCAGGGGGATTTTTAGGCCCTAACGTGTACTGGACCCTCCCTGGCCAGAACGAAAAAAATATTTAAGCTCCCACATGGACTAATTTCTTAATATGCCCCTGACTGTAAATAAAAACTTAATGCATGCTAAATATTGTTTCACTTTTAATCAAGTATTATTTAAAGCATTTTAAAAGTGTTAACTGTTATGCTAATTGAATTTTGGATATTCTTCTTCAACAAATAAATGATTTTTTCTAACTTTATCATCTTTAAATATAGAGGTACAGGGTGTCAAAATATAGAGGTACAGGGTGTCAAAATATAGAGGTACAGGGTGTCAAAATGACCACAAGTATCATAATTCATAACAGTGAGGGCGGAGTATGTTGTTTGGAAAAAATTCCAACCAGAAGACGGTATTTTGGTCAAAATATGGATTTTCAGTTACATCTTTTCAAAAAATACTAAATATTAAATGCGGTCACGGTTTCCAGACCAGACCTAGGAGCCTTAAATTTGGCAAGAACTCTTATTTTTATGTATACAGGAGATCTAAGGTAGAGCTGGAGTCTAAACTCAATCACCCTTACTGTCTAAACTACCTTCAGCTGGGTTAAATTTGACCGAAATATTCAAATCTTTTAACTCTGAGTTCAATTTTAACCGACAACCGGTAGTTTAGCAACCCAGCTGCTCAAACTCTTTAAGTGAGGTCTCCTGGGCTAGTACTATCAGACTATTTAGTAAAAACAAGTAGTGGACTAAAATGAAAATATATGTCCTTGATTTGTATTTATATCAGTAAAAATTATTTTGGTAGCATATATTCTTCATCTTTTAATATGCAGTCAATTTAAGCTGAAAGAATAAAAATATTGCCAAAATGAAGAACTTTTTGATTGTTGAAAAATGCACTCTAAAGTGTAAAATATGCTATTTTTGTCCTCTACACCACATTTCAATTTAAATTCCTCTTGGAATTTTAACTCTATCACAACTGGATGGGGGGGGGATTATTTTTCCCAACCCCCTGTGGTTTTTTTCTAAATGCAGTATGCTGGTCAAGTGATACAGACGGAGATATGTGACATTGGATGGAGTTCTGCTCATATATTACAGACTATACAGACTATCGTAATAATATTATCAGTTATATCTATTAAAAATGAAAAATTTGAATTATAAAATTATAACAGGAGCAAATCTGGGATTTTTCAGATTGGTTGTATAATTGTTAAAAATGGTCCGTTTACTGGTGTCATACTAAAAATCTTATACAAAACCTGATATATATGTATATGTTTTGGTATAATTTTGACAGAGTATTAAATATCAATTTCTCAAACAGGAACATCAGATAGATCTCTTATATATATCTTTCAACTTAGTTATAGGAATCTCAGCTGTCAGCCTTTACCCTTTCATTTTTCCTTTACAATCCCTTAAAACACTTTGACTTACAGATGAAAAACTTTGCTTTGCCTTCAGTAAATTTTACTTTTCACATAGTTCTTTTTAACAGCTTGAAAAAATACAGGACGCTTCAGAAACTCTTTTGTGTAGTAACCCCTCAGTGGCATTAATCACTGAATAGTTTTCAAGACAACATTGGGCAAATCCTTTCCCTGTTTAATATGGGATATACTGTATTTATTTTATAGGTAAGGCTTTACCCTCTGGTTACCTTATTGACCTAGATGACTACTTTATTGACCCGGCTGGCCGCTTTATTGGCTTGAAGCTAGTCAATTTTTGTTTCTGACCAGAAAGCTAAATAGTTCAATAATTGGGCCTTGCCCATAATTTATAAGGCCTAAATAAAATTGCTCGGTGATTCAAGATTTGGAATGGATTCAGGTAGTTCAGAGGCCTACCTCAAATTCATTAAATTATGAAATTAAAGAAACAACTGAGTACGTTCCTTGTATTGTATGAAAAAGGGCTGTCAACATACTAATACAGGGCGATTGTTTGGCCTCCAGATATCTCACGTAAGATTCTTTGCTGAGCCAGTTCTTTTCCACATAACATATGACTAGAGCCTGTCCTAAAGAATACTTTGGGGAATAATAGTATTGCTGCTAGATGTCTCACACTAAATTCTTATCTGATAGATATAGACAATTGGTACGAACACAATCGGAGACTAGACATTATCTGGTCGATCATTGTAGTGTGTGCAGGGAACATCTGAGTCTGCTCTTTCCCTAACTTAAACAATAGTCGATCAGATGATGTCACCAATTGTGTGCGTTTGAATTATCTATGTATCAGATAAGATTTTAGATTGAGACATCTAGAGGCCAAACTATATTCCCCCGCAAAAAGGTCTTCAGGAGGGGGTCTGTTCATATATTAAGTGGAAAATAACGGGCTCTGTATATTGCTTTTTAGCAAATGAATAGGCATATGATGAAGAATACAATGTGGAGGGACAGAAATATTGTCGTCTTCAGAACCTCTTGTTTTTTACACTTGTCATCTTCCAAGTTTTCGTGGCCAGGCATCTGTAATAAATAATAATGGATAAATGATACAGTGAGACCAATGAAACAGTAGTAAACAAAACCCCCTTTGAAATGAAACGGTGAAATGAGAAGCCAACTGTTAGACTTACTTTTATGATGAAAAACAGTAACTTGTGTAAAACAGCATAAAAATATCTTTAAGGTTGTTTTTTATATTTCAAAGTATGTATGGGAATAGATATTTGTGAATGGATATTGTTTATCCTGAGGCCGAATTTAAAGAATTTGGTCCGTGGCTTAAAATTTAAGCCGCAGCTCAAATATGGATGGTTTTACTTAAAATTGTATTTAATTTTTCAAGATTTGAGCCTATGCTTAATTGAAACCGGTTTTGCGCCGATTTGAGACGCGGCTTAAATTCATTTAATTCGGACACTGAACTGTATATTGAGATCTACTCCAGCTTTAACCTGATGGTCAACTATGTACTACAATTAGGGATGGACAATAGCAAGATTCGATTTACAGAAACTTTTAATGTTTTTAGATTTTTAAAGCATTTTACAACAATATGAGAAAGTTCCTTAAAACTTTATTCTGTAGAAGTTTGCTTTTATCAACATGCAAATGTGTAACCCCAGAAGAAAATAGAAAGGCAAAAACTATCGTTTTAATACATCATTGGTTCGTTTTTTACTTATTTAACTACAAATGAGTCTAAACTGAATTGAATAATAAAGCAAGTTAAGTGCACAAACTATATTTATACATTAAAATGGCAAAAATACTAATAGTTAATAGAAAGCTAGGCATAGAGATTAAATACTTCAGGGAGTACTCCAGCTGCTGATCATCTACTACCGTTAGTAAATAATTACCCTGGTCTGTATATTAAGATCTACTCCAGCTACTGGTCATCTACTACTATTAGCAAAAAATTACCCTGGTCTGTATATTGAGATCTACTCCAGCTACTGGTCATCTACTACTATTAGTAAATATTTACCCTGGTCTGCATATTGAGATCTCCAGCTGTAGGTTGTTGGTCATCTACTGCTATTGTGTAAGGTTCAACTGTGTCTGGAGGAGGTAGTCCATGTTCTAGGTTTCGACCTGGACCTTTGGCTCCATCCTTTATGCCTCTAAAAATAAAATGGTATCCATACAACAATTCAATTACAGGGTAACCCAAAAAGAATGATGCTTTAAAGACAAAAAAAACTTTTCTTTCCTTTTTCTGCACTGAATAAAGTCTTTAAATGATTCACTGAATGAACTGTCTAAGAGAGAAACATGTTTGCATCTACATTAATGTAGGGCTACACTAGATGCCAGACATGTGAACAAAGTAAAATCTATGTAATTACTACCAGATGTTGGTTTTCGCCATAAGATTGGGAGAGATTTATAAACTTTCTTTCTTGCAAGATTTGTTTTCAATTGTGAAGTTGGAAGAAAGAAAAATGTTAATAGTTATTACTGCCAGTTCAAGTCGTATAAAAATTCATTTCAAAAAAACATCAACCCCCCCCCCCCATCCCTCAATCGAGATACGATTTAGAATCAACGAATTTAACCAAAGGGGTGGGATTTTCCTACTAAAATATTTACCTTGGTTTCCATAATGTTCTAAAGAGCATTATTGCCAGCATTAGAATACATATGAACAGGGTGGCGATACTTGGCAATATCACATAGTACAGCATTGTCTCTAAATAGAGGTTTACTTTGGTTGCAATATCATTTAGTGGAGCATTGCTTTTAAAGGTAAAATGAAGTGGCAGTTAATTTGGGAAAATATGACTTACTCTTAATAATGAACCCAGAGCTGAAAACATGTAGCTTACCGTTATGATTTGGATTTTTCTCCGTAATAGCCGTTTTTTTACAGCAGAGTTCCTGATCTTTCACAAAATGTTTTGAAATTTACGGTTTTCACAAAAATATCCAGGGTTTCCCGATTAAGCAAGGATGAAAACTCTGAGTAGTACTTACCATTTCTCCAGAAAGCATGAGGGTTGTGCTCAGGAGCTTCTTGGTTCAGGTTTGGATCAAGCATGATCTAAAATAGGAGTTAAAGATTCAGGTTTGGATCAAGCATGATCTAAAATAGGATTTTAAGATTTTGGTTTGTTTCAATCAAGATCTAAAATCGAATTTTAAGATTCAGGTTTGGTTCAATCAAGATCTAAAATAAGATTTAGGTTTTTATCTATTTTCTTAATAAACAAGTGAAAATTTGAAGACAAAATGAAATTTTATCATTATTAAACAAAAAGTTTTCTCAAAATTCAGAAGTAAAAATTTCATCTGTAATTTTAGACAAAAACAGATGTTGTCTTCTTGTTGATAAAAACAATGAAAATGTTTTCTTCTTTTTTACAAAATGTTGTTGCTATATATATGTCATCTTTAATGAAGTAAAAAACTAAAATGAAGTAGCTTTGTAAATAAAAACTTTACCAGAAAGTGTCCCAGTAAGAATCCGGCAACCAAAGCTGCAACTATCCAACCTAGACTGAACTTCACAGAAAAAATCCAATCCTGGAAAATTAATATTTTTGATTTTGGCTAATACTAAGTTGTATGAATACAGTGTAAACACCGTTTATATATAGAAAGGTTAAATTTAATCAAAGTTAATGACACAATTGAACATGAAAAATTTCTTTTATTCTCAAAATATTGTCCAGTCCCAAAATGATGTCCATCCCTACTCTACAGTGAACACACTAAATCCAAACTAAACCTTGTTCCTGTAGAATAAAAGAAGCTTCTGTTTGAGTGTCTCAAACTGTACAGTGTACACACTATTAAATCCAAACCAAATCTAGTTTCTGCAGAGTACAGTGTGCACACTATTAAATTCAAAATAAATCTAGTTTCTGCAGTGTACAGTGTACACACTATTTAATCCAAACCAAATCCAGTTTCTGCAGTGTACAGTGTGCACACTATCAAATCCAAACCAAATCTAGTTTCTGCAGAGTACAGTGTGCACACTATTAAATCCAAACCAAATCTAGTTTCTGCAGTGTACAGTGTGCACACTATTAAATCCAAACCAAATCTAGTTTCTGCAGTGTACAGTGTGCACACTATTAAATCCAAACCAAATCTAGTTTCTGCAGAGTACAGTGTGCACACTATTAAATTCAAAATAAATCTAGTTTCTGCAGTGTACAGTGAACACACTATTTAATCCAAACCAAATCTAGTTTCTGCAGTGTACAGTGTGCACACTATTAAATCCAAACCAAATGTATTTTATGCAGTGTACAGTGTACACACTATTAAATCCAAAGCAAATCTAGTTTCTGCAGAGTACAATGTACACACTATTTAATCCAAACCAAATCTAGTTTCTGCAGTGTACAGTGTGCACACTATTAAATCCAAACCAAATGTATTTTATGCAGTTTACAGTGTACACACTATTAAATCCAAACCAAACCTTGTTTCTGCAGAAGAACAGAAGGTACTGTTTAAGTATCTCTAACTGTATGAAGAATAAACAAGCTCCAAACAGTCCCAATCTAAATATTTTCTAGAGTTATAAATTGAAATCTCTTTTGATTCAAACATACCCTATTTGTTTATCCAAAAAGATTGCCTGTAAGGGTAAATTCAAGCGACCTGACATCCTAAGCTGGCGATGTCTGATTCACAACGGTACACTGAAAATCTTTGCCTGATCAAGTATGAATTAGATATCAACGATTTTTATAATTTTGAAAACTGATTATTTTCAATTGTGGTTCTTCTACAAAAAGTGAATTGCCAACTTCTACTGCAGGAAAACATATTGAAACAATTAGAATTAAACATGTTTAAACCTAAAAATAAAAACGACCTTATCTTTCAAATTATTGATCAGATTAAGACGTCAAGGGTACCTTTGTGAATCCTCTCTACATGAAGGGTCACTTAAAACAAAATTGCTCCAAATGGAGTTTAATGTGTCTTCTTTAAATATTTTATAACAATACAGCAACAGTTTATTCATCTTATTCATCTAGCTAATTAACTATAATTCTTCTACAGCATCGATAATCAGTCAAGCAATTGTGTTCAAAATAATTATTGTGTTTTCATTAAATGCATAAAACTTATAAATTAGGTTTGCTTCAATGTAATCAGAACTAGATTTCTAGTACAGTGAAACCCTTAATAACGAATACATCGGAAGTATTCATCAAATGTCGTATTGACAATTTTTCTATGAGTTTTATACTATATTACGTAAATTTCAGTATTTGCGAAAATAAATAAATAGCCATAAATATGCGGGAACAGTTTTAAAGAGTTCCATATAATCATTTTATTAAAAAACTAAATATTTGCAACATTCCATTATCAGAAAGTGAAGGATACGACATTTGATGAATTCTTTCGATGTATTCGTTATTAAGGGTTTCACTGTATAAAAGTATACAATTTTTTTTACCACTTTTATATACTTCAGATTGAAAACTGCAATTCCACAAAGTTGTGCAAATTGAAATTTCTTTGAAGATTTTGCATTGCCTTTGGGTAAGAATTCTATCTTAAATTATTTTCTGAAATTAGGCACCTTTGCAAAAAATGTATATCAAAAGTTTAATAAAAGTTATACATATTAAAATAAGAGTTTGATGGAATCTCTTAAATCATGGTATAAATCAAAGGAATTTATAGCTAGATAGTATTTATCAAGAAAGAACAAAGTGTTAAATCAAATTAATTATAATTTCATCCGCAGCATGATGATAGACATTGAGAAAAAGCTTGATTGGATCGACTTTCAAGCATGTCTCACCTCCTTAGTCATTGGTTTTACCTAACAACTCACTTGTATATTTTCGTGATATGCTTATTTTGTTTTGTTTCCAGCTTTAATTTAAAAGAGGTATTTGACAAAATACTGATCGACTTTTGCTTGAGACTTGAGAGCTTGCACACATGTGACTTTAGGGAGTGATCAATCAAGAATTAACTTTTACCACTATAACTGATCAGTAATGTGGTTTTCCTAAATTGATCTTGTGTCGTTTCTTTTATATCGTCTTTCAGGGTCAAAATTTTGCATAGTGTGAGAAGAGAACATGTTTCTATATTGTTAGTATAAATATTTTATTTGAAAAAGATTTTGACCTAGCCAGAAGATTTGCAAAATACAACCTATAAAACCATCCCAAAACAAATGCTTTCAGACAATTTTTCCCTTTTTTTATTGCAAAGTTTGATAAAAGCAACTTTATCATAATTTAGTTTATTAGATTATAAGAAAAACGATTAACAAAACTTTACCTGATCACCGGAGGAATCCTCACTTGTTCCAGACGCAGAGCATCCAAAGATGTAGCTATTACAGAAGTGAAGTTAGCCAGAACAAACGCCTAAATAGTTAATTATCCAAATAACCAACCAAATTTAGCTAAATTTATAAATATATTCAAAAATATATCAAAGTTACCACGTTTCAAACATCGTAGAAAATAGGAAACCAAGTAAAGCTATTCAAAACAATATGAAGACAAATTAGGTTTTCCTAAAGCAACCGATTAAGTAAGATATTCTGAACACACAATAGAACCGATTTAGTAAGATATTCTGAACACACAATAGAACCGATTAAGTAAGATATTCTGAACACACAATGGAACCGATTAAGTAAGATATTGTGAACACACAATAGAACCGATTACGTAATCTATTCTGAACACACAATAGAACCGATTAAGTAAGATATTCTGAACACACAATAGAACCGATTAAGTAAGCTATTCTGAACACACAATGGAACCGATTAAGTAAGATATTCTGAACACACAATGGAACCGATTAAGTAAGCTATTCTGAATGACAATAGATCGAATAAGCTGCCCAAGAAAATAAAACATTGTTCCAAACATCCAATAGTATAGCTAACCAAGTTAGCATATTCAAAACACCAAATGAAAAAAATACCTTCCCAACAACCTACACATCAAATAAAACATGTTCTAAGCAACCAATAAAATGGTTAACAATGTTAGCCGATTTTAATGAATTTGAGTTAGGTTGCTAAACTACGTACTTCTGCTTCAAATTTTAACCATCAATTAAAAGATAACAATTGAGGATGAATTTGAATAGGTGATTTAAATTTGAATGAGGGGTAGGCTGCTCAATTTTTTAAATTTCGGTCCCTGATTAAAAACAAGTAAACTATCCCTATCACCACTAAAAACATATCAGTCCTCCCTAATCCCAATGAAAACATATCAGCTATCTAATCAAGTTAGATATCCCAAACGAGCCATTTCTAAAGGTTAGGCAAATAAGATAAATGTTAAATGTGTCAAATTCTCACCAGGGTCAGAAGATTTGCAAGGATCAAACTCTTTTCCCTAAAAAACATCATAGTGTATTTATTTATCATCTAATGTTTATTATATTAGATAATATATTGTGCATGACGATCAAACAAGAACGTATCTAGGCCTGGACATGTTCTTGGTTTTTTAAAATGTGCATTCCATGTATTTTCAGCTGGAACATTTGATGATGTCTTCCAAATTGTCTCATTATAAAACTATTGTAACCACCACCCCCTCCTTCACCCTAAGGGATCGTGTAGACCCCCCTATTCTGCCATTTCTAGATTCTCTAGCTCTCCACTCCTGATAAGGATGTGTTGATAAGACAGGATCACAGGATATAAAAAGAGACCTAGCACAGATTGAAGTAAGTTGTGACAAAGCCTCATTGAAAGAGGGATTATCTTCATTCTGCTTTGGGAAGGAGAGGTCATGAGGAGGGGCCAGAGTCCAGTTCTGAGTGTCCAGAGACTTCAAATCTGCAAGTCCTAGATCCAGTCCTCAAATCCCCTTTCAGTAGAATTGTAACTCATGCTTCCCATTAATTCCGTTTTAAAGCAATATAATCTTTTTTTCAGCTTTTCCTCCTTTATTTGTTCTACAAATTGAAGCACACTTGTTCTTTGTTCTCTTATATGGTGACAGCAGTAAAAATGGTAACGCCCATAGTCAGTGTGTTTTGAATTTTCGAGTCGATTTCTGGTAACCCAATTTGCAAAACAAAACAAAAGAAGCTGATATTGTATTATGTTGTTTTAAATCTGGTTGTGCCATAACCAACCAGAAATAAAACCAAAGGGTGATGGTTACAATATGTTGTTCTGTTTTTTTAATCATAATGACGCAATTCCGACTGGGCTTGTTCTCAACTCGACAATAGCAAGTTAGCTACAGCTGTTTCTATCCTTCATTTCTTAATTTGGTTTCTGAATAGGAGCTCATCACTGTAAAGCATTTCATGTACCAGCCTAAATTGTAAGCCACCAGAACAAGCTGGCAAATGGGAAGATTGAAGATGAAGATTGAAATTTATCAGAACTATATGTGATATGAGTACTTGTGCGTTTCCATTAGGGGATCCTGACTTATTTTCCCTGTCCTTTCCCTAACTGCGTTAGTTCTGGCAATCGCTGCCTGACTTACATTTTTCTTTCTTTGTCACTGCATTTTTAAATCCCAAATGAAACCATTAGGTGCAATTATAATATGTTTAGCTAGACTATAGTTCCTGTTGAACTATATTTTTTTGTGCAGTTCTTCAAATTCTCAACAAACAGCGAGCAGCATTACATATATCTAGTGCTTATAAAAAGATGTATGCCAAGTATATACCTGCAAATTCTGAAGATAAAGTGTATGTTTGGTGCACATGAGAACCAGCAAAGAATAACACAGCTGGACATGTACAAGTGAAGATGATCAGACTTCTAAATACAAAAAAATTATTATTGGAAATGTACATTTGTCAGAAAAACCATCTTTATGTTCAATCTATAGGTATATAAGCAAAGAAATATTAAATTATTAACAAGTTCTCTCTCTATTTAGAAATCTGCTTTAGAAAACAAATATAAGTATGGGTCTCCAGTTAAAATGGGTCTCTAATAGGTACTCTATTGATTATGATTTCTTTTATATCTATATAAATATTTAAGCATTAATGGAGTAAGAATGAATCCTAGAGTAATAATGAATCCTATAGTAAGAATGATTCCCGGAGTCAGAATGAATCCTAGAGTAAGAATGATTCCCGGAGTAAGAATGAATCCTAGAGTAATAATGAATGATTAAGATTAAAATTAAGATTAAGATTAAGATTAAGAAAGATTAAGATTAAGATTAAGATTAAGATTAAGATTAAGGAAGACAGTCAAAAAAACTATCTGATGGCTTCAGTCAGCTCAGAGACTTTATTGGAGATCAGCTGGAGTCCAGACCGCCAACCAAACATGAGTTATTACAATTTGTTCGTAGGATTCATTCTTACTCCGGGATTCAGTCTTACTCCGGGATTTATTCTTACTCTAGGATTCATTCTTACTCTAGGATTCATTATTACTCTAGGATTCATTCTTACTCAAGGATTTATTATTACTCATTCATTCTTACTCTGGGATTCATTCTTACTCTAGGATTTAGTCTTACTGTAGGATTCATTCTTTATCTAGGATTCATTCTTACTCTAGGAATCATCAGAGTAAGAATGAATCCTTGTGTAAGAATGATTCCCAGAGTAAGAATGTATCCTAGAGTAAGAATGATTCCCGGAGTAATATATATATATATATATATAAATTCATTTATGTATTACAGATGTCAACAATAATATAAAATAACATAAAATGTACGTTTTTGTACAGTTCATTACAGTAATAGGTAACTCTTGCATATATTCTATATCACGTGAATGTTCAACATTAAAGGGAGTGGCCGGCAATGTATGTTGGTTGAACTGAGATTGCAATATTGTAGAGAAAGTTTTAACAATCTATAATTACTGAGTTTAAGTGCAAAGTCGATTTTCAAAATCATGAAATTGAGTGGATATGTTTGAGAATCAGTTTTAAAAAAATATTAAATAACAACGACAAAAAAATATTGTAAATATTTTATAGTAAACTAATAAGATGTTTAGGAACATATTTCTCAAAAGAATTTTGTCAATAAATCAATGTTAGAATCAATTATATAGAATGAAATAGAAATCTTATTATTAATCGATTTGTTAAAAAAAAATGTCACAAAATTTTGTTTCGAGTGGTCTGTGTTAAAAAAAATATTAAGGTTTTCCTTAATTTCTTTTAATATTTTTTAACCACAAACATCAACCCTGAAAACATTTTCATTGTGGTTTGTAAACTAAGTTAATGCCGCATTTTTACTCACCTTGTACAAAACATAAAAAAAACAATACAAAAAGAACTGACCCTTCGCCACAAGTTAAAATTTTTCATTTCTATATCTTTGCAAGCTGATGCTGTAAACTTTCGATATTTTAAAGACTTTGTTAAATAAGAAAGTCTAAAAGAATTGAGTTTTTGTCACAAACTTAGATTTTTTAATCCCTATATCTTTGCTACCCAATATTGTAGACCTTAGATATTTCAAACTATTAATGTTGTTAGATTAAACTATCATAAGTTTGAAATTTAAAAATTACAATATCAAGTTGGAAATATATAGGGATTAGATAATTTGAGTTTGTGAAAAAGTTTCAGTTCCTTTGAAATTTCAAAGTTTTACACAATCTGGTTGTGAAGATATTGGGATTATAAATCTAGAGTTTGTGTGTTCTCTTAATTTTTAACATGACTTTGCTATGGTTTATTTTGAAGGAATTGAGTCTTTGTAACATTTTGATCAATAATAATTTCAAAAGAAAATACACCGGAGGGTCAGTTTGTATTGAATAAAAAAAATAGAGAATCAGAAAAAATAGCTTGAAACTATTTTTCCACATGAACAAATTTAATTATTATTTTATGGAGGAGAAAAAGCTGAAAGATTGAGCAACAGTACAAAAGTGAAAACAAAGATTGTCGCGAAGCGCCCTGATTGCCTAATCATTTACACTTTATTAAAGAGTAAGAAATGTTAATATAAAAGTACAAATGTAACCATGGGGTTAAGTATAACTTTACTTGTTGGGTAAGTTATCCTTCTCTAGAAATATTCAAGAAGAAATTGATTTTTAATATGTTCACAGAACTATACTATTTTACGTAGTTTTATGTTGTTTTAAAGCATCAAATATAAATTTTAAAAGCAAAAAAATACAAATATGGATTTGAAATCAAAAAGCAGAACAAATATAGATCCAAACGCTTTGTAAAAAAAACATCAAATATATGAATTATGAATTTGTAAAAACCAGCAACTGACAGATTTTGTCATGAACAAAAGCTTGAAAAATGTGTTAAGAAAAATAAAATCAATTGAATATTTTTAGTCATAATAATCCCAGCATTAGGGCTGGTCAAAGTTCCATTAACAAAGCAGAGATTTTCTAAAATAACAGGACAGTCCGTTAACGATCAGCAAACAAATTGTTAACGAAACGGATTGGGCGTTAAAAAAAATAACAATTAAAAACAAAACGTATGTGTTTTTAAAAATCGGCAACTTTTTTCTCTTTTCTGCTAGAATTGCATGAAACTTAAAAACAAAATTTGACGTAATTTAATGTTCTTAAATGTCTTGCCCCTCCCCCCTCCTTATTAGCTTGTCTTTTTAAAAGCATTAAAACTGATAGTTTTTCCATCTGCAGCAGAAATGCGCAGGTCACTTCAGTAGAGAAAATTTGTAAATTTTCAGTAAAGAGAATTTTTAAGAGCTTGGGTGATTAATATCTCATTTGTTTTTTATTAAAAAAATATTTAACCCTTAAAATTTTTTATTAAAATTTGTATAATTTTGGCGCCTTTGATTCCACAAACAATTGTTAATGACATTTTTTTTGTCCTCCGCGCAATTTCTTAAAAGATAATAATAATTCTTTGTAAATTATTGAAATTAATTAAAATAACAACTGTTAACGGCTGGCGTTGTAGCCTTTGTTAGAATATCTTCCATTACAGCTGTTAATAAAATTGAAAAAGTTAACCAAAGGTAACTTTAATTAAAACGGAAAATGCTGTTAATGAAACGAATGTTCTGTTCTTACCATTAAAACTAACGGCTACCAGAATTTTTTTTTTTAGGGTTGAAACTACCAATTAGCAAAACGATTAGAGAAAACTGGAACGGCCCAGTCCTACCCAACATAAGATCACTATCAAAGCTTGATCTTAAGATTTAGTTTCACAAAACACATGTTCTGGCTTTAGAAACATGTCAGTCTATGCGATGTTGCGGTAGCATTAAGCTGGGTTTATTAATAGATATGGCATAATTGACGACAAAAATACGTACATATCTAATTACATAACCGATACAGTCTTAACTACAGTTTTGTATTACCAAATACCTTTGAGAGTAGATGTGAACTGTGTAGATCAGAGTGATGATCAGCTGATTCAGTGTCAGCTGTCGAATCCAACATGGCGGGTCTACTTTTTTCTATTAGTTCATATTTTTCTTCTTCTTGCTTACCACTGTATACTGTAATAACATGCCACAAACTACCAAATATTCGTTTAAAAATGTTTTAAACCAAATTATCCATGTACTTTTATCTTCTTGTTGTGTAAGTTAGACCAAATCTTCTGGGTTTAAAATACCACAGGCTTACATCAACAGGCTGCAAAAATATAGGAATTAGAAAATTTTGCTTGTCGCAAAACTCAGCTCCTTCAAATTTTCTTAAATTCATTTATTTCATCTTCATTTTATTTATAAAAACCTTATCTTGTTGTATTCTTAATTCTTTTTTTTGTGTTACTAATTAGTAAAAGTTTATTATTTTGTTTCTGTATTTATAAAGTTTAATTTTTCAATTTCATAATTCATAAAGTTTAACTTTTAATTTTCTGAATTCCTTAAGTGTACTTTAAGTTTTCTTTATTAAAAAAGTTTATCTTCCGCTTTTCCAATTCATAAAGTGTAACTTAAGTTTTCTTAATTCATAAAGTTTTTTATCAGCAATAAAGATTTTTTCATTTGATTTTTAAGAATAAGATGGTACAGTATATAAGCATTAGTTTATAAAGTTTATATCTTATTTTCATAAATTAACCCTACTGGGGATAGGGGGTGGAGTGGGGTGGTCAAATTGACCCCTCTGTACTTTTTTAAAAATAACTGAAAAAGCATTGGTCTGAAGCTTTTGAAATTTTCTGACTATTCCTAAATACCCATAGCTCTCAATTACTCTAAAACCGAGCTTTTATACTAACTGCCTGAACCCTCAGGCACACTGCCTGAAGACTCAACGGGCACACTGCCTAGACTACTTTTTCCTGTAACAAACTAAATCTTTGTTTTTACCTACTTTCAGTTGTCAGATTTTCCGAAAGGCTATTACATAAGAAAACGAATTGCACAAGTTTTACAAAGAAATTTTCGCTTATTTTTTGCATAAACCCGTCAACATAAATTTGCACATTTTTAGTTTTCTTAATTACACATCAGGTTTCAAATTGCATGGTCGAGGGATTTTCAAAAATGTATAATTTATCATTTTTTGGACATTCTGTTTTTTGCAAACATTTTTCCTATATAACTGAATTTTGGAAAAAAAAATCTATTTTTGCAAATTTGTTAATTTCTAATTTCTTTAAAGATTCTAAAAGTAGAGCTTTCCAATAATGTATCATTTGTCATATTTGGACATCAAACATGGGATTTAGAGGGGGGGTCAAATTGACCTCCTCCCCCTCAGTGCATCCTGCTTTTCAAGTACCCTAGCAGGGATAGGGTTAAGATTGTGAAAATCCATGAATGCATTTTCCAAATAAGAACAAAAGAGAAATACTAAGTTAAGTTTTTATGTTGGTTATCTTTGAATTATTTTAATTTAACTTTCATCGTGTACTTTATCATACTTACTCACTTCAACATGAATTTCACAATGAACGTGCTATAAAGTAATTATCGTGCTATAAAGTTAAATTAGCTGTACATGATAGCACATATTTCAAAAATATTTTTTTAATTGAAATAAAATAAAATTGAAATCAACTTTATTTTTTTACTTCTGCTTTGTTTCAATGCTTATTTCATCTAGGAATGGCCATTGAAATAAGACAAGTACACGTTACATTAAATTTACCTATAACACTATTATTTTGACTCGACGTGCTGTAAAGTTTTTGGACAGAAATTTTCTCTTTATTGAGAAAGTTCAACCCTTTTTAGATTTAATTTTGTCCCGAGCTTTAGCAAGGGACAAAATACTGCGAACCAAAATAACTGTGATTAAAAACCTTTCCAAAGCTTATAAACATTTCCCTGCTCTCGTGCTGTAAAACAATTCTATATGGAACAGTTCTATTTTCTAATTGAATTTCATTGTTTTATTTCTAATTTTTGGTGACAGTTTTGCTTAAACCTTTACAGCTGTGGTTTATCCCCGAAATTTTACTCGTTTTTAAGAATCGAACATGTCGAAGTTACTAAAAATTTGCGAAACTAACAACAGAATTTTTAATCTTTATGTTTCTATTATTATTTTATTAATTCGTGTTATTAACATATGTGAATGTTCCTTTAATTATTATGCTTTAGATAAATATTTTTGATTGTATGTACAACTATAATTCATGAACATTTAACAATTCAAGGCTACAAAATAGTTTGATTATTACAAAAAAGTGTAACTTCCAAGCAAAGCTGGGTTCCCATGCAACCCTAGAGATGCAATTTTCCCAATTAAAATTTGGAGAGAATTGGTCAATGGGTCCACTAGCTATAATCGGAAATATTCAGAAAAAAAAGAAAAAAATATAACCCCTGGACCGATTTGCCTCAATTTTTGATGGGGGAAATCAGTAGAACCACGGAACTTATGTTCTTTTTCTGGATTAAAATATTCAGTGTGTTCACTTTAAAAAAAAAAAACTCCAAAGTTCTAAAGTAAGTGTAAAACGAATAAAATCAAGAAAAGTATGCTTAAGGTTCCCATGCTAGTTTTAAACTGTTAGCTTTTACGTTACTTTTGACGGGGTTCTGACATTTGACAATTGTGTTTGCCCTTAACCTAGTTTTCCACACGACATTTAATAATATGTAATTAAATACTATTTTCTACCAGTTACAGGGTGTCTAAAATTTCTAAAATGTATATGGGTTTTTAATGGCAAAGTTTGGGTAAAAAAACTTCATTTTACTTTTTATATCTTAAATTTTAATCTAATAAGTTAGATATATATTTGTTTACAGGATAAATATATGAATTACAGAGATTCTATTCATGTCCTATAGCTGTAGACGCACAAGAAAAATCAGACCACATTTTGGAAATGCCATGGCTAAGGGATTTTATTTCGGAATCGTACTGGCTAGATTCATGAATTAATGCAGCATTATTTTTCTAAAAAGCGTCATGTTTTATTTTACTTACTAAGAAATTTTCACGATAATTTGGACAGAATTTTTGAAGGTTTTTTTATGCATTCATGTTTGTTAACAGTTTTTCGGTTCGGTAATAAAGTTAGAAAATGGCATTGAACAATTGTTTAANGCTACTAATCTTACTTCTATCTGTTGCGTCTATAAGGAGAAAATAAATGAAAATAAACATTATTTTTGAGAAGAAGGAAATTCATTTTTTTTTGAAAAAACAAAGTTAGTCATTTATTAACGATGAATCAACAAAATGAAAAAAGTTGCCGATTGTTAACAATAAAATTAAGTTTTTCAATGGCGTTAAAGGGAGTGTTCGCGAAAAATAAAAGGGGGTATAGGCTCAATGCGATAAAAAAGCGCTTTTGATCGCTACTAATCTTACTTCTATCTGTTGCGTCTATAAGGAGAAAATAAATGAAAATAAACATTATTTTTGAGAAGAAGGAAATTCATTTTTTTTTGAAAAAACAAAGTTAGTCATTTATTAACGATGAATCAACAAAATGAAAAAAGTTGCCGATTGTTAACAATTAAATTAAGTTTTTCAATGGCGTTAAAGGGAGTGTTCGCGAAAAGTAAAAGGGGGTATAGGCTCAATGCGATAAAAAAGCGCTTTTGATCGCTACTAATCTTACTTCTATCTGTTGCGTCTATAAGGAGAAACTTGTTAAAGACGTCTCATACGGAATAACTTAGCGCCCATAGAAATTCAGAAAATTGCAACATACGACTTAGACCGTAAAAAATCCATTTAATATCAAACATATCATTCAGATAGTACAACCTATAGTCATTGATTATGTTTCGCCACATTTGTATATAGTTTATATTTTATAATATTTTATATTTTTAGAAAACGTTTTAACTGATTTCGAAAAATGTGAGTGGTCCGCGGCATTCTTAGATAGTTGCGCAAGCCGCAAGAGAAATAATCAAATTCAAAACAAATTAATTAAAAAATATTATAAAACATAAACTATATATACAAATGTGGTGAAAGATAATCGATGAATATAGGTTGTAATATCTGAATGATTTGTTTGAAATTAAATTAATTTTTTACTGTCTGTTGCACGTTACAATTTTCTCAATTTGTATGGGCGCTAAGTTCTTCGGTATGAGACGTCTTTAACAAGTTTCTCCTTATAGACGCAACAGATATAAGTAAGATTAGTAGCGATCAAAAGCGCTTTTTTATCGCATTAAGCCTATAGCCCCTTTCATTTTTCGCGAACACTCCCTTTCACGATTGGTAAGCTCGTTAGTCAGAGTTGTACTTCTATAAAATGATTAGTGAATGGTTTTGGGTTAATTTTCAGAAAAACCAGAATTCTTATTCTCAAAATGTTCACTGCACATAATTAAAAATCTAAAAAATGTCAAACAGTCTCAAATATAGAACCTATTGTTAAATGAACCAAATTTTTAAATCTTCAAAAAAACATCCACTCTCAGATACGTATAACAAATATGATATAAGGTTCTATAAAAACACTGAGCTAAAATTCATGGACCGAACGAAAAAATAAATATTAAATTTTTTTTGAAATTAAAAACTTTCGATAAAAAAATTTGATTATGGAAAACGGAAAAATGTTGAAAAAAGGGAAAATTTAGATATAAGCGAATATTTCCTGAATCCACATACAATGAGAATATAGATAATAGTCCCCTTTCCACCAGCGTTTATAATCTCTGACCTAGTACAATTATTGCCCAAGGGGCGGCTGTACCAAACCGTCCACACCATTGAGCCTGAAAATTATAAACTTTTGGTGCCAAAAATTATAAATATTATAAGATATCATTACAGGGGACATTAGTTCAAAAACTAACAAATGGCCCATTTCTAAAACTGAGTGTTAGAAATGGGCACAAATTGAAAACTGGGTTTTTGGGATCCCGGCATATCACCTAGAGTAAAAGTCGATGACAAAAACTATAACCAAAATTTTATTAAACATGACGAGGACAACGATTCCCAATTTTAAACTTTTTTAAATCAAAAATATAATAGGAGTTCTTTTATATTAAAGCTCTTGACCGTTTTCAAGACAATGTGAGGTACCTTTTGAAGACTAAATTAAATTCTAAATTATTTCTAAAATCTAAGTTTCCTAAAGGTTACCTAATTA